TAAGCTTTCGGGGAAGACCTTTCAAAGTAGACAAGAGCCTAATAATTATGTAGATAGAGTCAGGATTTAGTAAATTTAAATGAATGTGATTTGGTCACAGTGATTCTGTGATTTGCATGTCCGCTGAGGAAATGCAAAAGAGAACAAATACACACATAGTTTACTACTTTTTTTGCTTGAAGGTTTCTGAGATTCATGTAAATTAATATGTAAGTGGCCAGTTTAGTCATGATAACTGTCTTGAAATTTGGAAGGATGCTGCTTTTATATAAACTTTTGGGATTGAATTTAAGAAAAGTAAAAAAAAATTAATATTTGGGGAAACATTCTAAAGTAGAGGCCTGGTGCACAAAATTAGTGCACTCAGGGGTGTGTGTGGGGGAGGTCCTCAGCCCGGCCTATGCCCTCTCACAGTCCAGGAGCCCTCGGTGGATGTCCAACGGATGGCTTAGGCCCGCTCCCCATGGGAGAGGCTCCTGCCACCACTGCTGCACTTGCCAGCAGTGAGCCCAGCTAAGCACTTCTGGCTGAGCAGCGTGCCTCCTATAGGAGTGCACTGACCACCGGGGCAGCTCCTGCATTGAGCATCTGCCCCCTGGTGGTTAGTGCATGTCATAGCTATTGGTCGTTCTGCTGCTAGGTCGATTTGCATATTAGCCTTTTATTTTTACTAGCAATAGAATGAATCAGGGGTGTGTGGGGGGGAGGTCCTCCGCCCGGCCTGTGCCCTCTCACAGTCCAGGAGCCCTCGGTGGATGTCCAACGGATGGCTTAGGCCCGCTCCCCATGGGAGAGGCTCCTGCCACCACTGCTGCACTTGCCAGCAGTGAGCCCAGCTAAGCACTTCTGGCTGAGCAGCGTGCCTCCTATAGGAGTGCACTGACCACCGGGGCAGCTCCTGCATTGAGCATCTGCCCCCTGGTGGTTAGTGCATGTCATAGCTATTGGTCGTTCTGCTGCTAGGTCGATTTGCATATTAGCCTTTTATTATATAGGATAAGTGTCCTGGTAAAATCAATTTGTATATGAACATTTCAGATGGGTAAGATGAAATTGAATATGATAATCTTAAGTGCTATTTCCATAAAACCATTGCTTATATATCCTCCGCTGAAGCATTTGCTTTCATACATTGATAAGAATTTCAGGACTGAAAAGAACCAGAGATGACTATTCATCTTTCCTCACATAGGTGAGGACTTGAGATCTGAGGGGTTTAAATGAGCCCAGCTAGTAGTAGATGAATTGGGTGTAATCCCCAGAGTACTTCCTAGCCAGTGGGTATTTCCAATACAGATGGATGTACATTTCAGTCGGGCTTAGGAGTCTGCTATGATTTTTAAGATTAGAAAACTTAATTGATGGTAGTAACCATTTTCTCTGTTGCCTTAGTATCCTGAAATTTGCTGAGTTCTTGTGTTATTAAATATTTTCTAGCATTTTGATATCCTCAAAGCTAATTTTAGTTTAGAAATATTATCTACCTGGAATGATATTTGGAACCATGAAAGGAGTGTTAATGCTTAATTTCAGTTGTTGTCCAGCTTTAAAAAAGCTTTGACAAGTCTCTCCCCGCCTCTCCCCCCTACTGTATACTTGGTGAAAACTCTAGAGATGATATTGAGCTGAGAAAAAAGATATGAAAATGAATGGGTTTAGTTGTAAGCCAGTCAGTAAGTACTTTCTAAAAGAGTCACTACTATGGTTTTGGGGAAGTACAACCTTTCTTAGCCCTTTCTCATATCCTGGCTCTAGTTAGGTGAAAAGTTTTGTAAATTACTTGCAGTAAATGTGAGCCAAGGCGAGTGAGCTCCTGCCTCTGTTCAGATTCTTCCAACGGCTGCTATTGCTCAGAATGGGAGCCTTGTAGTTTGGAGCCTCCCAGTTTCTCTCCCTGATTTTTAACCAGCCTTCTCAGAGCTCATGAGTTCCACAGTGCATTACTCTTATGGTGTTTTCCCTTGTCTTGGGACATAGAAGTGTGCCTTGTAAATGAGGAAACGCTTGACATTCCAGGATCAATAAAACACATTTTTTGTTAATGAAAATAAATGTAATACCACGCTATAAAAAGGAAAATGTGTTTTATTGGGGGCCATATCACACATGATCAGATGCTATTCTTTGGGATTGAGAATAATCACCAGTGAATATATGCTTTTTGGGAAAGAAATTATGGCATCATTTGAATGTCACTCTTGCTTAGGCATATGATAGGCATTGGTATTGGTCAGATACTGTACACATTTTAGTGTTTGACCGATGCTGCTCAGCATTGAACAGAGGATAGAACTACCAGGAGAAAGTAATGTTGAGGGACAACTGGCTGCACCTAGATCTCTTACTAAAATAATTAGATGAATTGCCTGTATATTATATAATTTGTGGTAGCTTTCTAAACTGGCTGTAAGGTTTGATTTATTTATTTTAATTTTTATTTTTTTAAAGAGTGTTTTTATTGATATCAGAGAGGAAGGGAGAGGGAGAGAGAGAGATAGAAACATCAATGATGACAGAGAAACATTGATTGGCTGCCTCCTGCACACCCCCCACTAGGGATTGAGCCCACAACCTGGGCATGTGCCTTGACCGGAATAGAATCCAGGACCCTTCATTCCACAGGCCGACCCTCTTATCCGCTGAGCCAAACTGGGAAGGGCTGATTTATTTTTGAGTATGTATTCTATTTTGATCTGTTAGTACAAATGATTGACATTTGATTTCATGTATTTTTGCCACTTTTTAGAGAGCAAAGTTTATGGAATTCCATATTGACTTACTATCCTAATTTTTTCCCATTCTAAAATTGTCAGTATATTTTTAAGATAATTATTTATGAGACAAAGTTTGGGAAAACCAGGCAGTTGTTTTTTTTTTTAACTACATGGAATCAAACTCTTAAAATCTCTACATTTGTTTTCATCTTTATAAAATTACTTCTGTAGCTTGATAAGTATTTAAATGGGTATCCCAGCATATTAATTCAGAGCTGTTTGAGAGAAGCAGCAATATAATAGGTAATATGAATTAATATATTTTAATGCAGCCCTGAGATTTTTCTAAGAATATTCAGTTCTCTTAAAAATGGGAGGTGTTGTCCTTGTTTTATAGATATGGACATTGAGGTTTTAATTTGTACCATTTTTGTGTCATAAAGCCCTTTAAGATGAAATTGAATATGACAGTTAATAACTACTTAAAGCATAATGATGTGCCCTTAGGCTTATGGGCTTTTTCTGCCTCTTTATATTAAATTCTTAATAGATTTGTGCTTCCCATGTATTTTCATTTCATGATATACATGTACATTATTTAAGAATTTCTTCGCATCTATAGCACAGTGTTTAAAAATTGGCTTTCCATTGGATGCTGATTCAAGGACCAGCTCTACTGACACATTTTGTTATATGAACTATAGAAGCCTCAGTTTCCTCATGTGTAAAATGGAATTAACAATATTATTATTATTATTATTGATATTGGTAATGGGATGGTAAGGGAAGGGAATTGCAAAATTGACTTGTGATTTTTTTTGGGGGGGGGTGGATAAAATATAATATAAAAACACTAGAAGCCTGGTGCACGAATTCATGCACGGGTGGGGTCCGGCCCCCTGCCCAGATAGGGGGGCCTATCGGGCCGGGCCAGTGGGGGGTAGGGCCGCGGGCTGTTGGCCATCCTGCCCCACCCCTGATGGGGGTGTTGGGGGCCCACTGGGGACCGGGCCAGTCAGGGGTGGGGGCCGACCGGGGTTCAGATCAGGCTGGTTGGCTGCCTCAGTGCGTGTCATAGCCACTGGTCATTCTGGTTGTTCTGGTCATTTCGCCTTTCTGGTCACTGGACTTTTATATATATAGACTAGAGGCCTGGTGAACAAAAATTTGTGCACTCGGGGGTAGGGGGTCCCTCAGCCCGGCCTGTGCCCTCTCGCAGTCTGGGACCCCTTGGGGATGACCACTTGCTGGCTTAGGTCTGCTCCCTGGGGGATTGGGCATAAGCTGGCAATCAGACATTCCTCTGGCAGCTAGGCAGCCTTCGGGGGATGTCTACTTGCTAGCAGGGAACAGACCTAAGCTGCAGTCGGACATCCTTAATGCTGCTGAGGAGGCAGGAGAGGCTACCACCACCACCACTGTCCTGGCAGCCATCAGCCTGGCTTGTGACTGAGCAGAGCTCCTTC